AGTTGCCCGGCCGGGGAGCGGCGAGCTGCCACACTGCTGAAAAAGCGCTCTTCCCGCGCCCAGCGGCGCGCGGCGCCTCAGGGGGCCGCTGGCTGAGGGGACGGCGCGGACCCTCCTCGCCTCGGCGGGGCTGGGCGTTAAATTAACCCGTCCCTTCACAGCTGGTGGCACTTTATATCGCTGCCTGGACCTCGGGCGGGCCAGGTAGGGCCGGCCCAGGACGCGTGTGAGATAGAAAGAAGTAGTCCGTGTCGCCACGGGTGTTAACGGTCCTTCTGTCCATCTTCTCGTGGTTCTCGAGTGCCATTTCTTGTGCCTAATCGGTTTGGGGTTTTTTTTTGCTCTTTAGTCTGAAAATAAGTGTTGCCAGAGAAGGAATATAGGCTCTGCTCTGATGCCTGCTGCTGTACACCCTGGCAATTTCCTACCACAGCTATAAATAAAATAACTGCAGTTGCCATCTTCATATTTATTTATTTCAGAAACCACAGGTCCCAGAGTCATAATAATTATGAGCAGTAAGAAGACCACTACCAAAGGGGAAAAGTAATCTACCCACAGGCACAGCATCTTACCTGCTTTTCTTGTAGGAGCAGGAACAAGTCTTTCCTCCCTGAGGGAGGCATTCCAGTCTCAAAAAGCCATTGCTCTGAGGGCAGTGACAGAGGTGAGCTGTGCCCTGTATGTAAAATTTAATCTTGCATAACCTTTGGAGATAAAGAAGTGATATGCTTAAAATGGTGCATGTACTGTAGTGGTTTTAGCCATAAACAGTGTCTCTTTTCCTCTGCAGAACTGCAGGCTCCAATGAAGCATTACATAATACATAGCAAAAGATTGTAGTTTACAATTAATAAAAGCTCTGCCTGGGTCTGTGCTGTAAGATCAAGGTTGTGATAAAAGTGTTTGTGGGAAAATACACAAAGAAAGAACAGGTTTGTTTTTAAAATACGACAGGATGTTTTCAGGCGGGCATCATAATTAAGACTAAATCACGACTGTGCTGCAGAACTGTTGAAAGAAGGGCAGGCACAAAGTTTTCAGTGGTGGGAGGTTTTGACTTCTCACCGTGGGTGCCCTTGAGCTACTGGAGAGAAGACAGCTCCCCTTTATTTTGCAGCTGTCAACTGATGTCCTCCAGATGGCCAGCTACGCATTCAACTCCACCACATTTCACTGGCTCATCCAAAACGTAAGGAAAGCGAAAGCCTCAGCTATCCTGTGCTTCTTGACCTGCACACAGGAAGTTTCCCCACCCACACCCAGAATCAACCAGTTCGGTCTCCATCACCAGCTTGCTGGGCCCAGACTGGTCTATGCCTTCTCTTTTCTGCATGCTAGACGACTTCCTTCACCAGGTGACAATCCTTCTGGTCTCTCTGGACAGTTCTTAGTTTCACTTGCCTTTTTTTCTTTCTCAGAAGACATGAAAGGCCGATACACCAGGGGAGCTGACTTTCCAAAAGCCATAGTAAACTTCATCAAGCTTCTATTTAAAGAATTAGTTGTGTGGTTAAACACAAGCTTAAAAGTTCAAAGAATTTGCTTCAATTTATGCTCTGCTGAGATTCCCTTTGGAAAGCCCCTGTGCTTTTCCGTACCTCAGTTTCTCAGCTGTATTATGGCAGAAGCATTTTTTACATCCCGGGGGCATTATGAAAAAATATATATAGTATAGTTCATAATTTATTTAATTAGTATGACACTACTATATAACTACCATACATATGCTAACTAAGAAGTAATAGGGCCCTGGACATAATGGGTAGAGGAAAATGGGAGAACAATAAAATATTTTTAAAAAATATTTTTTAAAACTGCATTCAGTTTCAAGTAACAATGATTTAGTGGTATTTTAAAAGCATACGGTAGGTACTTGGGAGGGCTAGATTTTATATCTATGGGAGGATTTTACCAAATGTGATTTCTCATCGGATTGCAGCAGTAGATGTCCAAAAAAAAAAGAATTTCTGGAATGTCTTGAAGACATGGGATCTTAAGAGATGAGCTGTTTTGTTGTGGCTTTCTTTCACATACCAGAGTATTTCTGGATCATTCAGGGCCATTGACATAGTTTTTATATGTGTGAGTTGAAAGAAAATCA